AATCTACATTTAAAACCAGCAGAAGAAGCTGAAAATAAACCAATCTGGTCTCCAACATTAACAAGCAAAACAGATAAGACACTGTTAGTTAGAGAAAGGTTAAGGCTTTGCTGCAGAACTTTACGCATATGGCCATTTTAGAGAAATCCATAAGAAAGAACGGCTTGCCGGGATTTATTGTCTATTAAAATATTTTGAATTTCCGTAAAATCTGTTATTACCTTTAGAAGGAGATTTCAAGTATCACTCAAACTTTCTGATCATCTTGTAAAATACTTTCTGTGGTTTTCAAGGATTTTATGAGGTTTGAACAGATATAATTACTTCTTTCCCACCCAGACCATCTCAGAAACATCACTTTCTAATAAATGGCCAGCTTAAATCAGCAGGCAGAAAATCAGAGTAGGCTTTTACAAAAAAAGTAAATAAAAAATCAAAACAATCTCAAGCCACCTTTCTACAATTATAAGATATCCAACATACATACAGTACAGTCCATGGTTCTCATATCCTAAGTAGATCCCAGAGCAGCACGGTGCAGACTGGAAATGTTCAGGATGAGTTTGCAAAGGAATGGTTGGGTGTGACATGGAACCAGTTTTTATTGTTGTTGTTGTTTTTTCAGGGAACCTGGGTCACCCCTTTCATCTTATTCTTTATCGATCCGATCACTTCTCTGTTTGGTGACATGACGAGTAGCGATGGATCATTGCACTACAACATCGACTCACCGACCACACAGAATACGTTTCTACTACCACACAACCATACTCCAGCCTAATACTGTGAACAGGGACGACAGAGGTAGGACTTACTAAGAAGACGACAGAAATAAAATGGGAGATGACAGGGGATAAACAGGAAGAGGCAAGTGAAGGAAATATAACAACACACTTTCGTCTACACTTACATTTCTGCATGATGCTTACACAATAACACCATTAACAATCACTACAGACATTCTTACTGTCTTCTAAACCTAATTTCCACTGAGAAATACCAGGAAAGGGGAAACATCATAGGGCTGGTTTGGGGAGGAGTGACATCTATGATAGCAACATCCTGTTCTCAACACCACGAGAGCAACAGAAGCAATGGATAAAGATAACGGGAGTATTAAAATCAGGCCAGTGTTGCAATCCATTCTCATTTGGTCTCATGAATATTTCAACAGCTGTTTAGTTATTCATCTTGACAAAGAATCTGTGCTTTCATCATCTCTGACAAGGGACAAAAATGGAGTTTGCATAAATCATCTTAAAGGAACAAAATAGTTCCCTCTGCAGTAAATTATCTGCAAACCACGAATGTGCCATAAAAATAGGTCTTTTTTCAGAGCTTTCAAACTATTTCACACTGAATGGTCCCTTGAGATAGAAAATTTGAAACAAACAGTATAATAATATTTTGTTGAAAACCATTTCTAGTCCTTAAGTTATTAGAACAGAACTTACAACTCTCAGTATAATTTTCTATTCATAGTATTTCTAGACCTACTTTAATTGAGTATTTTCTATTAGTTTGCCAATTTGCATGCCATACATCAGCAATTTTATGTGACCAGTACTGCACTATTTAACTTCATTGAATGTGTTGTTAAATTATATCAATTTAAAATAGAGGGAATTTGGAAAAACAGGGTGCTTAATAAGAACATCTGAAATCAGTAAGCCACCCTGAAGTAAGTTGGAGTTCTAAATAATAAATCACAACAACTTGTCTTATTTAAAATAAAGGCTGGAAAACAGCTTGAATGAGATACTTTGCCAATAGACAATTTACATTTAAAATAAGAAAAAAAAACATGGCACTGTTCTATTTTAAATACATATTATCTAATTGTCTTATTTTAGGAGTAAAAAACTAATTCCATTGGCAAATCATATTATTTACCTGCTAAAACCAAGGGTAAATACTATTAATTCAATAAATGTTGGCTTATTTTTAGATTGTCTTTGCAGGGTAAGCCAGTGGAAAGCTGTAAGCAGTAAAACAGTCAGTATGGGAGTTTTTCTAATGTTCATAGTCTGAAAAACACTCAGGATTTAGACTTCCAAAGATATAAGTTACTTACCACCCCCAATTTTAAATGGAGGCTAATAAAAAAAAAAAGATTATTTCTATAAAAAACTTCATTCAGCACTGAGCTAGGTGCTTTAAAGGTATAGTGGAGGATGTTCTTTTTCCGGGTGGATCATCAATATAAGTGGTCCCTCTGATTGTCAATCATTCTGGTGACATGTTAGTTAGTTATCTTTTTCTGTGCATGCACACTTTTATGTGTCGAGCTACGGTTTTAACCAGTCATTGAAGCTCGCCTTTCTCACCGCAGTTCTTTGAAAATGGCAGATGGTTATAAGACAAATGTGTCTACGAGGTGTATGAGAAGAAAATAAGGCCTCAGAATAGAAAAACATGATCAGAGTGTTGGGAGATTATTTCACGCAAATGCGCACACTGAAAGTACAGGTTGGGCTTCCATCTGATGCCTTGGTTGCAAAGTTTCTACTCAAAATTTCCACTATTTGGAGAAATCCATTTCACATCACTGCTAGTAAAAGTTATCTACCTTTATATTGTAACTTTCCTGGGAAGATAAGTTTTTTTTATTTTTCAACTTTATAATAGGGTTGTGCATGTTTTTTTTTTCCTCCACTATACCTTTAAGCTTGAAAACCAGTGAGATTTGCTAACTGATGTGGTGCTGATAACTATTAGAAAAATAATTAAATGATATTTAATTTACTTCATGCTATGGATGTAAACAGAATAAATAGTCAGTCTATTAGGTACAAGATATAACAGACAGAGATGGCAAAAGTACTCACTTTCCGTACTTGAGTAAAAGTACAGATACTTGTGTTAAAAAATACTCTGGTAAAAGTGGAAGTACTGATTAAACTTCTTTACTCAAGTAAAAGTAACAAAGTACAGGCTTGTAAATTTACTTAAAGTATAAAAGTAAAAGTAGAAACCACTTTTTTCATGCCGTTGCCTACATTTTAAATGGATGTCTGCCAATAGGACTAGATCTCCGTTGTGTTCATTTTCAATCATCTCGTCGTCCATACTACTATGCTAACGCCACCGCCACCAAGCTGCAATGATTTGCCGCCAATGAATACCGCCGAATCTGTCGATTCATCTTGTAGTGGTGCGTCAAATGCAACGTAGATTCCCATCCAATTAGATTGAATTTGGTCTTGATGACTTGAAAAATAATAACGGTAACTCCATTGAAATGATTCAAAACTAAAGTAAGGAGCCAATTTTTTAAAATGTAAGGAGTAGAAAGTACAGATATTTGTGTAAAACTGTAAGGAGTAGAAGTAAAAAGTCGCCATAAAAATAAGTAGTAAAGTAAAAATATCAGAAAAATCTACTTGAGTACAGTAACGAAGTATTTGTACTTCGTTACTTCCCATCTCTGATAAAAGATATCTTACAGTAGAGTTGAATATTGAGACACAAATCATCATTAAGTGAACTCAATTTCTTAGTTCTGACTGGATTTATTCACATGCTGTGTGTGTCATATTGAAAACTGAAATTAGCCTGGACATTTTTATGTTTATAGATAAGGAAAAATCTTTACTTCTGCGTTTGGGTTCTTTATAATATTCTGTCAAGTAACTACAGCTGGAATGCACAATTTTTCACATTTCATGGTAGAATTTAATAACAAAACTTTTTTGGCTTGTATTGCTAAAAGCATTAAACATAGTTACTGGAAAATACAGGGACTTTCACTTTTTCACATTGAAGCTGAAACATTCTGTTGGATAAGTAAATATGAGATTTAAATTTTGACAGTGGAGGCTCATAAAACCTGTATTAGCAAATGCTGATGGTTCTAAGACTTGACACAGAATGTGCTCAAGTCAGCTGTAATGTATTCTCATGTCCTAGTTCTTTTTTCTGTCGAATAGTGCATTAATGCTGATCTCATGCATTCTGCTAGAAGACAAAATACACCTGCTGATTATCTTCAGCACAAGGAAAAGAAAGCTCAGCAGGTTCACCTTTCCTATGATTTTTCTCTTGTTTGATATTCTGACAAACACTTAAACCATTGAATTTTAGTCCTTTAGGTGTTAAACTTCAGCTCTTGAACGCCGGGGTTCAGATGTGCCCCATATCAATTACTCATGAATTGAATGGCTGAAATACCTACTCAGCATGTAGTCTGGCCTTACAATATTCTGCTGATGAGATAATTATTGAATTGGGGTGTATCAAGGGAGAGACACATATAAAGCCTGCAGGCTATCAGCCCACAAGGACTTGAGTTTAAAACTCTTGGCTTAGTTTATCTGATCATAGTTTTACATTAATATGAAACATCAGCTTTTTCTAGCTGACATTTATAAACATATTATTAGGTATGGCTTAAATTAATATGCAAATATGTTCACAGGGTCTTTTAATTGTACTCTGAGAGGTGTTGAGAACAAAATGGTCACCCATGGAAGATGAGGTACTTTAAACAGTAACATTGAGAAGAGCACGGACAACAACTGAACGGAATAAAAAAAAAAAGGACAAACTAATATGCAACAGAGCTAAAAAAAAAATGCCATTAAGACCACAGTACTACTCTCCACTATACGATGCACATGGTGTGGGTAGGGTGAACAAAACTTCATTTACATTTGAATCCTCGTTCTCCAGCCAGGGACCCCTCCCAAAGGAGGACCCAGTGGGGGTGTAGGGGATAGGGGGTGGGGGGGGATGCACTGGGCTAGGGGGGCAGAGACATTCACGCACCGGCCGATCCCAGAGACAGAAAGAGAAGTCAGCATCATCGCTATAGACTTGTGATGTTCTTGTGTATGTTGTGTCAGGATTGTTTGCACTTGTGCAACTATGACTGTTGTTCCTGTGCGTTTTTTGTTACTCTGTGTAATGTACTGCAAACCTAGTGAAAACCAATGAATTTGTAAAATGGCAGTAGTGATAATTTTATTTCTAGATCAGGCACACTCTATATAAAATATATAGAAATTCAACCTACACAAACTATGGCTTTGTTTCTTCTGTCACAAAATTCCTTTGCCTCGTGGAGACTGAATATTGACTATATGGCTATACATACAGTATTGCTGGAATGTTACATTTAACAAATAAACATGTTGATTAAATCATATTTTTTGTCTCATTCCTTTACTCTTCCTGAGAAAATGTGCTTTATGTTATAGATGCTATTTTTGCCCAACTTAGAGAGGTGTTTGTCCTATGGAACTGCATGACCTGTCTTTGCCTCTGAGTATTACCCAACTCTCCAGGCTGCTCCCCCCGGGCAGCACTAGGAGGGTTAGGTGGCCACCAACACAGCAGAGAACAGGGTTCAGGGCTTTGTGCAGGGGAGTGTAAACACAGGTCAAAAAGGCATATGTTGTCTTGCTCCTACTACCCAGAATACACACCAGTGCACATCAACCTGGACCATTTGTTCTTTTTTGCATTGGTTTGTTTAGTTCCTTTGGAGGCCTGTGCCTGGTGTTTCTAATTTTTAATTGTCTGAGTCACAGGCAGCCACAGCAACTCTTGACCGGCACGCTCGTCCCAAACTCACACAGCTCATACTTGGGTGGAATCTCACAAAGAAGTAAAAATCGAATGAACACTTAAATTAATGGTCTCCACTAGGTTCACTAGCAATGTCTGACCTTTTCTTTTTATTGTTGAAATAATCAAAAGAGTGCAACTCCTGTTGCATCTCAATGAATGAGAATCACCAGATATATGATGGAGTATCACCATTTCAAGGTGGTGATATCCAAGCCATTTCATCTTCTCACATAAGCCAAATTAAATGAGAACTTAAGTTTTTGATGTGTGAACTCCACTCATTTTAGAGTAGAACAATAGGCATAAACACATATTGTGCTTTAAAACTTCTTTGTGAGTTAGCAACTGTGTGCGTTTGCGTCTATCAAACACGTTTTTGGGACGTGCTCATGCCTCCCCCAAGGGACCCCTGGCTGCGTTGTTTCATATCATTTTCATATTAAATTTCCTGGTCCCTCTTGTAGAGCTCCCTGTGCTGGGTTCAGATTTCCGGAAAGAGTACTCTACTGTGAAGTTGTTTCTGCGCTGGCCACGTCCCCGACTCCACACAAACAACAGCAGGAAGCAGAAGAGAACAACTCCCAGAAAAGTGATGCAACCCATAGCCGTTGAGACCAATATGGTGGTCAGGTCCAAGGTGAACTTAATGTAAACCCGTGTGCTGTTTATATTTGTGTCGTTGAAGTACTCTCCGGTGTACAGAGAGCGGTTAAGAAAAAAGGCTGAGGCAGAATCTAAGGGCTGACCTCGCACTGTAAGAGTGGCAAAGTAAGTGTCATTACCCCCAGCATTCGTGGCGATGCAGATGTATGTCCCGCTGTCAGTGACCTGAGCATAGCGAATCTCCAGAGTACCACTGGGGAGAATAGTGATTCGACCTGAACTCTTTGCCTTGATTCGTCTACGCTGCGGTGAAATCCAGATAATAGCTGGTGTAGGATCTCCATCAGCTCGACACACAAAACTCACTGGTTGGCCTTCCCGAGCAACCACCTAGGAGAGGTAGTAGAGTATATGATTGAAGATACATTGAAAATTCAGTGTACACAGTATAAAAAATATTAACATACAACAATATTAGAGAACATTTAAGCTACTTAAAAAATATATAAATGGAACCATCCTCATTACCTGTTGCATCTTACGGTTCCGTATCTTAGGTTTCTGGCATGTAAAATGATCGAAGAGAGCAGAATCAGAGAAGGAGCTGATGCTGACCCCTTGTACCTCCAACGGCCCTGCACACACCGGCACTCTGCCGTCAAAGTTGAGGGTCTTGCGTCTTTGCAGGATCCACAACAGACGGCAGTCACACAACAAGGGATTTCCATCCACTCTGAGGGTTTCCAGGCTGTTAACAGAGTGGAAGGACCCTTCTTCCAGAGTCTGCAGGTCATTGGAGGAAAAGTTTAATACTCGAATCTGTCTGAGGCCCCCAAGGGCCTGAGGCTCAACCGTCAGCAACCCAGTGCCTACCATGGTGAGCTCCTTTAACCTCAGTAAATCCTTGAAGGCCCAAGGCTCTAGTGTGGTGATGGGATTGTAGGACAGGTTGAGGTGGGTAAGGTGCACCAGATTCTTGAAGGAGGCTGAGGGGACAGAGGTGATGTTTGTGTTGGTGATGAAGAGCCAGTGAAGGTCTAGGCCCTGAAAGCTGAGAGGGGAGATATACTCAAGGTATGGCCAGTGATCGATATCCAGACCCCGCAAGTTGGTCAGTTTGCGAAAGTTCTGGTCCTCCAGGGCAGAGATGCTAAGGTGTCGAAGGCGAAGAGTGACCAGGCTGTGGAGGTAGGACAGTGTCTGGCCAGAAATGGATGTGAGATTGCAGCGCTCTATTGTGAGATCCTCTAGTCCCAAAAGTCCTGAGAAAGCCTGGAGTGAAAACCAAGGGGGAGGAAAATAGTCATTCTTGAAGATGTGCAAAGGCAAACAATGCTTGCTTTTAGATATTTACAGAATGAGCTGGACAGCATAAAAAGGTACACATAAGGAAGAATTTTTTTTTAGCATTTTTGTTGTAATGACAAGAGAGCTTACCTTGTGGGATATGTAAACCAGATCATTGTCCCCAACTTCTAGCTGTTTTAGATTCCTCATATCCTGGAAGGTAAAGTCCAACAAAATCACCATTTTGTTCTCACTTAGATCCAGGCTGGTAAGATTGCCCAATTTGGCAAATGCCCCCATGGGTACTATCTTCAGCTGGTTCCCCCTTAATTTGAGAACTTTAAGATTCTGAAGTGCTGCAAAGGCATTGGCCTCCAATGTTGCGATGAGGTTTTCACTAAGATCCACTTCCTCCAGCCGAGGGTACGGTGCTAGATCACCTGCCTGCACCCAACGGAGCCGGTTTTTGCTGAGGTCCAAGACCCTTGTTTCAGTTGGAATGCCTTCTGGGATGTTTGTGAGCCGCCGCCGTTGACATGACACAGATCTGAGCTGGGCTGAACACTCACATCGTGGAGGACAGGCCTTGGCAGTCTCTGGCATAGTTAAAGCTATGACAGAAACCAGCGAGGAAGTCAAAACCCATTTCCACACTTTTGGCCAAGGCCCTAGGGCATGACCACCTGGGCCAGAAGAGTCAGTCATGGCGCTGGTCCTCTGACTCCTCGCCTGATACAGGCAGGGTCAGTGCACCAGACACCTGCAACATAAAGAAAGACAAACAAAGGATGAAAAATACATGAGATTAAATCCATTAACTGTCAAAAGCAGTTTTTGTTCTGGTTTAATTTTAGAGGTTGAGGTTCTACTGGTAGGTGGCTATCCAGCAGATCCTTCCATCTTTTGGTGCCAAGAACATGCTTTCTTTTTGTCCTGGACTTATTTTTAAATAAGTCTAATATTAACTTTAATCAGCATTCCTTTTCCTGCAAAATAAAGGCAACCTCATCAAGGCAAGGCAAGGCAAGGCAAATTTATTTTTATAGCACAATTCAGTACAAAGACAATGGAAAGTGCTTTACATGATTAAAATACAGGAAAATAAAACAGAATCAAAGCAAGTGGGAAAAAAAATGCAGAAACAAAAAAGAATATTAAAAACAGTTGGACTAAAGAAAATATGTTTTAGTTGAACTGTTTAACTAGAACAGTCGAAGGCAATCCTAAACAAATGTGTATTTAGTCTTGATTTAAAGGAACTCAGGCTTTCCGCACTTTTACAGTTTCTGGAAGTTTGTTCCAGATAAGTGAAGCATAGGAACTAAATGCTGCTTTTTCTTGTTTGGTTCTGGTTCTAGGTATGCAGAGCAGGCTGGAGCCAGAAGACCTGAGTGGTCTGGAGGGTTGATACACTGATAGCAAGTCTGTGATGTCTTTAGGTGCTAAGCCATTCAGAGATTTATAAACTAACAGAAGTATTTTAAAGTCTATTCTCTGAGATACAGGGAGCCAGTGTAAGGACTTTAGAACTGGGGCGATGTGCTCTACTTTCTTAGTCTTAGTGAGGACACAGGCAGCAGCATTCTGGATCAGCTGCAGCTGTCTGATCCACTTGTTAGGCAGACCTGTGAAAACACCGTTGCAGTAATCAATTCGACTAAAAACAAATGCATGGATTAGTTTTTCCAGATCATGCTGAGACATTAGTCCTTTAATCCTGGAAATGTTCTTGAGCCGACCTTGTAATTGTCTTTAAATGATTTTGGAGGTTCAAGTCTGAATCCAGTACTACACCAAGATTTCGGGCCTGATCAGTGGTTACTAGCTGAAGCGACTGAAGCTGTGTGCTAACTTTAGATCTCTCCTCTATTGGTTCAAAAGTTATTACTTCAGTTTTGTTTTATTCATTTAAAGAAAATTATGGCACATCCAGGCATTGATTTCTTCTAAGCATTTCCTCAGTGTTTCAATTGGTTCATAGTCACCTGGTGACATGGTGATGTAAAGCTGTGTGTCGTCAGCATAGTTATGGTAAATGATGTTGTTGTTTTTTATCAACTGAGCGAGAGGGAGCTTGTAAATATTGAATAGGAGGGGACCCAGGATGGACCCTTGGGGAACCCCACATGTGATTTTTGTCATGTCTGATGTAAAGTTGCCTACTGACACAAAAAAGTCCCTGTCCTTTAAGTAGGATTTAAACCAGTTGAGAGCTGTACCAGAGAGGCCGACCCAGTTTTCCAGACGTTCTAACAGGATGGAGTGATCGACAGTATCGAATGCTGCACTGAGGTCCAATAGTACCAGCACTGTGGTTCTTCCGCAGTCTGTATTTATACGGATGTCATTAAACACCTTGATGAGGGCGGTCTCTGTACTGTGGTGAGCACGGAAACCTGACTGGAACACGTCAAAGCGGCTGGTCATATCTAAGAAAGTGTTTAATTGTTGAAACACAGCTTTTTCAATAATCTTACTGATAAAGGGGAGGTTTGATATGAGGAGTAGTAGTTTGTCTTAATTGTTCTTTTTCAGCAGTGGTTTGATATTTGCTGGTTTTAGGGACAGCGGGAAAACACCTGACAGAAGGGACCTGTTTATTATCTGAGTCAAATCAGATGCTATGACAGGCAAAACTTTCGTAAAGAAAGCTGTGGGTAGAACATCAAGGCAGCAGGAGGAGGAACTTAGCTGCTGAATGATTTCCTCTAAGCTTTTGTAGTTTATTTGGCTGAATTGGGACATTTGGTCAAGATCAATTGCAGTTGGAGACAACTTTGGTACTGAACTTGATATGGATGTATAAACTGATCCTCTGATCACCAGCATAATGCTGGCATGACTGGTGTGTCTGAGTAAACTTCTAATTTTGTCTCATCTGTCAAGAGCTCCCTCCTTGACATGTTCGGAGTACCCCCTACCGGGGTCGTGGCAAACTTTAATAAGACTTTGTATCATTTATTTGTGCTAATTGTGCCCCTTTTCATTGGAAGCCATATTTTTTAATTGAATGTCTTTGAATTGGCATGTTTTTAGATTACCCCACCTTTTCTGTTGATTTCTGGAGTAATAACTCATCCAGAATTACCAATTCACTAATCAGTTCACTAACTTGTGTTGTCACTTCTGTTTAGGGTATAGGCTATGTCTTGATTGATCAACAGAGGTCCCATACTCCTTTCAATTTTGATTTAAACAGTGCTCTAGTTTAATGGAAACTTATACAAATGTGCCCTTCACTCAAATTTGTGAGTTTTTAAAATTTCACACATTGCTAATTTTCATTCAGCATTATTTAGTAGTTGTAATGTGACAAAAATATTAAAATGTTTAGGTGGTATTAATACTTCTTAAAATCACGGGATCTCCAAGACAAAATGTGTAACAAATCATCTTTGTAGAAAAAGCTGTAAAAAGCTTTATAATGAGTCTATGTTGCACTACATGTAATGTGATCTCATCATAGTTACAGTGATGATTTGTCTTTTCTTTAATTTATATGACTCTTCTTCTGGGAAACATGGAAGCTGAGAGCCTTGTGAAAGGCAGAACTTTCCTCTAGCTGATGCATCTTGCATTATTTCAGCATCTACTCTGTCTGCCTTACAGCACTGAGACCGTCTGCTCCATTTTTGACAAACACAATGAATTCATTAACACCCAATATATGCACATGATGAGATTTTCAACATGCAAGTTGCTGTAAAATTATATGATATGTTTGATCACAATGACGGACGGTTGCGTAGGTTTGGCAGTTTGCTTGCTAAGAATTAAATCGTTTCAGTCCTCCTAGCACAAAGATAAGATGAATCACTTGTCCTTTAACTCTGGTTTAGGCAACCGTTGATTACTCCCACTTACTGTTTTCAACACAGAAACTGTCAAAGAGCACTTGGCATTGGATCTTTATCATATCTCAGTCAGTAGGCATACTTTTTCCAATTAATAAGTACAGAGTAAAGGAAAAAACTTCTTTCTTTCTAAACACAAAATGCCCTGATGCCAGGCCTACACATTAAACTCTCAACGTTTAGCTTGTTAATTTTTTAGAGAGGAAATGAGTGAAAATATTTCATCATAATGAGGGGGGATCATGTTAAAATGCTCTCTGATGCTGGCATTCGAGGGAGGAAGCGCCAAGCAGATGAATAATATATGTTTAGTTTGTGCTGAATGTGCACCGTCCACAAGATGTCAGGCAGTTAAAAGAGGGAAACGTGTCCAGTTTTTCCAGGTTACAGGCTTTGCTATAAGTCCTTTTCTACTCTACATCTGCTTTAGAAAACAGCTTCTTGAATGTCTAATTATATCAAACTGTCTCATTGTGATGGCATTAATGGTATCAAAGCAGATAAAACCAGATTCAAACTACATTTAAACAATGGCATATAAATTGTGTATACACTCACACCCTTCTCCACAAATGCAGAGACCAATCTCTGTGTGACTGAAATACGCTCCTCAGCTTTTTTCTAAGTCAGTAAAATAACCATTGTTTTTATGTCCGTATTCTGGAGGATCTGATAGGAAACTAGCACAAGCTTTTATTTTATTTGGAGACAAAACTCCGACACAGAGAGGCTTCTGTACAGACTGTTGCACAAACTGACCCACTTCTCATCTGCTACTCAGGCTTTTGCTGTCAGTCGGCTGCAACTCACCATGACCACAACAACTGAGCAGTAAACCTCATTGTCTCATTGGAACAGGCCCCAAGAGAAGAACAGACAGATCTGAAAAGCTAAATACTGTATACAAAAAAAAAAGTGAGATACCAGAGAATGTATTGGGGTAACCAGACATCGTATCTTGGGTTATGTGGAGCAAAAAAAAAAATCCATCAACCATGCAAAAACCTAACACCTGCTGTGCACTGCCAGCCAGTTGGTGGAAAGAACACACATTTGTATTTTGACGTATCTCTCTGGTTTTAAACCAGGAATATCTTTCTTGTTTAAATTTGTCTTGTTGAGAATCTCTTTTAATGTGTTTATTGTTCCAGATAGTGAACCTCGGAAAAACCATGGAAAAGGTCTCACCTGTGTGCAGTAGTTCTCAGTCTTCATCACCTCCCTCCCTGCTCTCCACCACATCTCTTGCAAGTACCAATGCTCTCTGATCTCACTCACATTCTCCTGGACCTCTGCAAACAGTCTGCAAACCCCTACAGATCCATGCTACCTGACCTTAATCTCTTAAGTAAGTTAATCAATCAGTCATCAGATGTCATCAACCAACTAAATCCTGACCAGTCTGCTTTCTCTCCTCAGACCAACCAAAAAGTTTAACTGACTTCCTGAAGTTCTCAGCTTCCAGATTCTTGTTGCTTTTGCAAATGAAACCTTAAAATTCACTCCGTGTGATTCTATGTGTTGGTAAAAAAAACTTCAAACTACATGACACTTTTTCTAATGCACATTTTTATCGCATCAGTAAACTAGTTTGGAAATGGCAAAACTCACTTAAATTCGTAAAAGTTTTACACTTTTTTGAGGGGTTTTAGGCTTTGTCAAAAAAGGGTCAATGTGCAAAATGGGAGATAGAAACTGTTTTTAAGAATCAGCTCTGACGTAGCAAATTTTTACCTCATATGATGGATAAGCTGTTTCCACCAGTTCACAGATTATCCTATCATGCATGTAAACATGGCTGCAAGCAACTTCACCATTACGGACATTTTAACTAAATGGGTGTGTTTGATTTCCCAGGCTGCATCCTCCAAAGATTATGTCTATCTGGACTGGGATCTTCGAGGTC